TGGTGAGCATGAGCCCTTTTCCCTTCCTTCACCCTCTGCCTCCACGAGCTCAGAACCCAGTGTGGGAGTTCCAAAGGTTCTCCAGGCAGTGCTTTCCACCGCTTGTGTTAAAGGCAGGAGGCAAATGGAAAAGCTTCCTGTGATAGAGAAGTGCTTGGAGACCATTCTGAGCCACCAGCCAGGAGCAGCTTCCCAAGTGGACAAAGCCCATGGAGGATGTGAGGAGGGTAATTGCCCTCTAGATTTCACAGCAAGAATGGCTTGTTTGTTTCTGAGGGGGGCAGGGGTGGGCTTGATAATACAGATCACTTTTTTTGTGTCTGCAATGCAGAAGTTTCTCTGTGCTAATTTTGGCACTGACACTGAAATTGATGTGTGGCCTTTAGGTAAGTCACTTAATCAATGTGTTTGCAAAATGAGGATAATAACATTTATTTGCCTGCCTGAAAATGGATGTAGTAAGGACAGACTAGTTAATGCTGCAAAATGCTATTTACTAGTAATTGCAAGTATTATTATACTGCAGACTTAAACCCCTCCTTGACTGGTAATTGAAGTAGCTGAGGAAGTCTGAAATGTAAAGGTGGCAGAGGTTTCAGCTAAAGTGGAGGTGGCTAATCCCCTTCCTTTTCATGGAACTAATTATGCTTTAACTGAGGCAATAAATATAAAAAATGTCTTGACTACATACCTGCTCTTACTCAGAAACGGAATGAGAAGAAATATTGTGGGATTCACCTTTGGTGCACTAGGTAATGTGCCATTGATAATGGGTCAAAGGAGGAGCTGGGTGAACACAGAAAAATACATGTTCAAGCCTCTGTTCAGGGATGCAGGTGCACTCAGGTGTCCTGAGAGCAGGATGAGCAGCACAGATAAGACTGAATTAGATGCATCATTACCATTTTCAACCCAATTAACATCCTTGCTCTTCAGGATTAAATAAGGTCTGTAATTTGCCTTTCGGTAGAGCAGGTTGAAAAAAATTGAAGTCCTGAGGGTGAGAAGAATGAATAATGCTGTGGAGTGGCATGAAGCAGATAGGAAATGAACTACAGTAAACTGGCTTATCTGTGAGTTGTGCCTTGAGAACTCTTCTGAGGCCTCAGACTGCCACCACTTCTCCTACAGATGTTTCTTTGAGAAGGGATGAACATAAGATGGCTACCGAGGGTGGTTAAAGGATCAGGTCTGCCAAAAAAAAATATCCCTTTTTGCCCTCTGTTATACTACCAAGAATCATTCCAATAAAAACAATCATGTTTGGTTAATGCAGTAGTTAAAATAAACAACCTTAGGTTTCTCTAATGACTAGTAAAGGGTCATAATTTGGTCATTCTTTATGCTGAGTAAAAGCTCACCAGCAGGTTAAATGCCTCTGACTTTTCTAGAAAGTGGAGAAATTACTGTTTCATGAATGTTACACATATCTCACTTCAACTGCTCAATATTTTCATGATAAATTTGCTTGAAATTTATTAAAGAATCAAGGAAGCAGGGTGATTTGCAATGTGATTGGCAATATTTCCAGGACTTTATTATGAGCTATGAAAAGAAATGGTGGAATTGTTAGCTGAGGAATGACTTATTTTGCCTTTTTCCAGTTTACAGCCCCGCTTTCCAGTCTTAAGTTTTACAACCCAAACTCAGGGTGAACCCAGCCTGGGAAAGAGACTGGTGGCTGCCTCTCCAGAGCAGCAGTGAAAAACACAATGGTTTCCAAGGGGGGGACCTGTGACCCTTGGCAATACAGCTTGGCATACTGTTGGCAAGATGACTTCATGTATTGGAGTGGATAAAGTTTACACCAAGCTACAGATGGAGAAACATTTTGCTTTCTTCTGTAAAACAGTGCAACTCATTGCAGGCTGGAGAAAAGTGCCACACAGAGGCAAATCATCCCTTGGCTTGCTGTGTTAATGAGTTTAGAAACAAAGAGATGCCTCTTTGGGCTCCAACAAAAACTGGTAGGTGTAAGACACTCAAACTCAGAGGAGTTAAATGTACTGAAATCCAGACATTTAAGGGAAGAACTTATGAGAAGGAGATTTCTATTCAGAAATAGAGAATATGGGATGCCGTAGGCTCAGCAGGTTCAAAGGGGAGCGTCTCAGGGGAGTTCTGCTACGGCAATGCGTGGGCAGAGCCCTGTCACTCAGAGAGACTGTGGGCTGAGGAGATTAGGCAGAGGTAAGGTCCAGCAACTATTCTGATCCCATGGGAGACAGTGCTACTGGATATAAAGGCACTGCTGTCTGCCAGTCAGTGAATGCTTAAAAACATTTCTGGGGATATTTTGTCAGATTGGTAAAAGAACACGCTCAGTAATTTGGGTTTTGATGATCACAGCCTTACATGAACAAAAAAATTTAAATGACTATCAGAGAAAAATAACTCAAAACAGCATTTGAACTAGTCATGCCAAAAGGTCAAGCAGTGGTGGTGTGCTGAATATCTACAGGTAACAGAAATATAATGCAATTCAGTTGAAACAAAGGCACTCAATTTTCCAGATATGAACTCTAGTCTCAGATTGTTAAAGTCCCTTCCAACTCAGGCCATTTTAAGGATTAGTTGTGTATTACTTACAGATCAAAAATAATGCACAGACAAGATTTCAAATTCACAGAAAAGAGTTTAAACAACTGGGGAAAAAGTTTCTAAAAGAATTAATGCTTTCAATCCCAGAGTGGACACAGTTAAGTATTTAAATAATTATATAATAGTTGTTAGTTTTCTGCTAAAAAATTAGCCAAGCTCTAATAAGATAGGGCAAATTTTATTTGGCAATTTGTCCTCTAGTGCCATGTGCTGTGAAGGTGTACTGAGATCTTTCTTCTATACTTTGTCACTTTGTGATGATGATGTATGTGACGGAGATGCCCGTTCTATTGGAAACTCTGCAGATGGATTGCCCTTCTTATTAAGAACAGTGGATCCTTAACTGAATTTTAGACAAGCACTGTCACTACCCAGTGCTCTGCAGCTTCTTATTTGCCTTGCAACTCTGACAGTTATCCCACAAGTCCCACATTTGGTGGTGCACAAGCTCCAGACATCCATCTACACACACCTAGAGAAAATCGGTATCTTATTTCAGCAGCTGAAAGGAAAGTCAAATAAGGCTGCATATGATACTAATTTTTTTAGGGTTATATTTGGAGGTGCCAAGAGGATGGAGCCAAGCTCTTCCCAGTGGTGCCAAGTAATAGGACAAGAGGCAGTGGGCAAGAACTGATGCACACGAAGAACTTTTTTACTATGCGGGTGATCACGCACTGGAACAGATTGTCCAGAGAGGGTGTGAAGTCCCCTTCACTGGAGGTATTAAAGAACACTCTGGGTGCAATCCTATGTATTGTGTTCAAGAACAGTCTGGATGCAACCCTGTGCAATATGCTCTGGGATGGCCCTGCTTGAGCAGGGAGGTTGGACCACGATGACCCACTGTGGTCCCTTCCAACCTGACCCATTCTGTGATATTTTTACTCACCCTGCACTGCACTCTGGGAGGTGAGTAAAAACAAAATCATTGTAGATTGGACAGAAGAAGGCCCTGTAGCACACTTCTCAAACTGTGGTTACACAGTGATTTTCCTTGTGCTGGGGCAGAGAACATGCAAAAAGCCTGTGGAAACAGAGGGACACAGATCCGGTGACATACACACAGACCTGGTGATGTATATATTCTCCAGCCCTTCTTCCTTACCAAGAGTTTTTCATGTGTACTGTACGAAGAAAGGAGTAATTTGCCTCTGCCTCCAGGCCACAGATGTCCCTGGCACCACTCACTTTAAGTTCTAATAACCAAGCACATTGGTAAGTTTTCCTACTAACATGATTTCTGCCATGAGTGACACTGCTGCAAACCAGTAATTCAGCAGAGGGAATGTGAGGTCCAAAAGAGCAGTGGATTGTATCATCTGAGCTTACTGACTCAAAAGTCCTGCGTTCAATTCAAATTCTCTCTAAAAAGAATGCTGATTTCCTTAGAACAGAAATGTATATTTAAAAAAAATCTTGCTCCGCTTCCCATGTCTTTACTTTGTTGGACCTAGTTATTCCAGGGAACTGACACTTTTAATCAACAAGAAACTCAAGTTTCTTAGGTACAGCAGCAAGGTATGACATTCTGCCAGCAAAGATAAATTCATGAGGGTTATGGTAATTAATATGTACATTAGAAAAGGAGACTTTCCATCCACATGTAATGAGCTATTCTTAGCACCAGAAGTGTTTTCTAACCCATGATAGGAGAAGGAGATTTAACCTTACCCTGTCAAACTTTAACTGACAGATCAAAAGTGTTACAAGAGGGGGAATTCCAAGTCATCTCAATTATGTGGCATCACATGAAATAATTATATTTGGTTACCCTTTAGAACGATGTGTTTCTTGAGGGATAACTTTTATGTACTGCTATTCCAAACACAACTACACTCTGACTATGCTGCTTTTGATTTTTAAATAGCTCACACAGCTATAACCTCTGCATGTTTTCTCTAATGATGAATCACAGTATTGTATTTACAGGCAGACTCTTTTTGCCCCTTAACTACCCCAGTTTACAATGTAAGACAAAAGAAATTAAAGGCTTTGTTCAATCTTCTCTAACACAATGGAAAGTTATCAGAGAAGATTTTATACTTTTTAGTAATAGAGCTAATATACAATGCAAAAGACTTTCCTTGAAAAGAATGAAAAGAATACAACTAATCAAACCTCATTCAGTTAATATGCAAACTTGACTGAAAGCAGTACTTAAAATACATTAACCTGAAAGGCACAATGTACCTGATTCAAATTTAGAAAAATACTTGTTTTCATGTTTCTCAGTATTGAATAGGTAATAAAATAAATTTCATTTGCTACAGAAACACAGCAGAACCCACCTCAGTTCCCTGCTGTGTCAGTGGTGAAAGAGGTTTTGATGTTTCTGAAAAATTGATCCCTAACATACAAATGAAATCATGTGAACAAGCAGGACAGACACTAAAAGCTGAAATACTCCAGTTTATTCTAAAGATGAAAAACCAGGGCAAGACACTTGGCTAATGTTTTAAGTTAAATTTGCAAAACATTTCTAGATTTATGAAAAACAGAGACAAGAGGTGATAGCTTGTATTGTTTTTTAAATTTTTTTAATTGTTAATAGGAATATCTATACTTCATGTTATAAAAGGGAAATTAGAAAAACAGGAAACATAATGGCAGTGGTTTTAGTTTTTACAGTTATGAATGCTCATGCTTCATTTTGCAGAAAAGGAATGGCTCCTTGTGCAACTCCTTGCAATACCAGGGACCTATTTTGATGCCACATGCATCTCATATTTCACAGTCCTGTCCCTTCACCAACATGCAATGAGATCATGAAGAAACCATAAAGCCAATCTCATCCATCGACATGTGGCTCAATTTTCTTCCTCGTAACTTTAAATTCCTTAATGATATCAATGCCACATGACTTACTGTAAAAAAGAAGGAGAAAAAATAATCAGCATGAAACAAAAAAAAGCCCTTAGGGTAGGCAAAAGGTAAATATACAAGCATATGAATCAGCAAGAAAAAAAAAACCAAACCACACCACACAAAAAAACGAACAAAAAACAACAAAACAAACAAAAAACCCCAAACAAACTGAAAAAGAAAAAGTACTAATTTAGGATATTACAAATTTAATAAAGGCAGTATTTATAATAACAGAGCTAGCATAAAAATTCCTCAAACATGAAAAGAATCATATTGGAGAAATGTGTTGAAAAGTTCTATTTCAAGAAATGTAACACAACTCAGATACAGAGCTCTTAAGAAGTCTTCCTGTAAATCTTATTCAGAGCAGCAAGTAACCCAGCAACTTGGACATAAACATGAAAAAAATCTTAGTTCTAATCACTTTCAGTAGTGCTAGAGTGGTTTCAAACTACGAGAGCATACATTTTTGGCAGGCACAGAGACAAGACTGAAACCAAGTCCATTCACTTAAAAATGCAAAGAACATGTAAGGTATTTTATAGTGCTGAGAAAATAATAAGACATAAACACTTGGTCTTGCTTTTTCCTCCCTTTCAGGGTGTCTAATGTGTGTCCTCATTAGTCAGTCATTTAAGTGTGACTTAAGCCAGCTTGATATTCAGTGCGATCATCTTTTAATGGAATGATTGGAATAACGATGTGATTGTACAGCAGGCTATGTTCCTTGAGACTCGAGGCTTCCAGAATGACAGCAAAGTAGTCACAGCTCACAGAAATTACATGTATGTATGAAAAACAACCCAGTGAAGATATGAGTCTATTCTGAAATGACAAAAAACCAAAGGATATAGAACACAGGAGCGAGAAGGATAAATAAGTTTTTGGCATTGTGTAACACAAATGATACAGATACCAAGAAAATTTTGGTGGCTACAGCTAAATTATGTGCTTTTCAGGTAGACACACAAGTAACTTAAAGTAAGAGAGGCTAAAACATCGTATGTAAAATCACAGAGGAAATACTTGCCCTTAAGTGCTGCAGAGGAAGATTTTTTGTGTTCAGGGGATGATGGTCCCGATTTAGAGAATGACTCAGCTCCCTCTGTATGTTTTTCTTGTGCATGTGTTGAATCAGATGACAACACAGGAGCTACTGAGGAGAGAGCTGAAGGAGTGCATAGGTCAAGAAGCAAAAGATAAATCATGAATTTGTAGAGTAATTCAGTATTTTACCTGTGTGCAGCTGAAACAACAGAAGGAGGAAATAGAACAAATAATTCTAGCAGTGTGGACAATTAGCTTATGAATGAAGAAATTTCTTTATTTCCATAAATTAATGCCTTAACTGTAAATGATAAAGGAACCAGATAATGACCAACAGAAATATGTCAGGAGAGGACTTGGTGTGGTTTATGAGACTAAGCTTTAATGGAAGTAAGACATGAAAGACTTTTGAAAAGATTTTTACTTTACTATTCCAACTATAGTGTAGTATTATGGCTACTATTTGACTACTATCAACCTGACTGACCAGAGACAGTAAACTGTATCACTGTTTAAAAAAATGTTAAATTTATAGAAGGTTGATGTTAAGGCAAAAATTGATATCTATATCAATATATATAGTTAACAATATATTAAAAATATAATATAATAATATAATAATATATATTTTTAAAAAACTACATTATAATTATCATTTATCCTTCCATAATTATTAATATTCCTAATTCTTTGAGGGAAAAAAAGCTGGAATAAAGGACGACATAAAAATAGTTGTTAATTTTCCCCATAACAGAGCATTTTAAATATTTCAGTATTTCTACAACATATTTATCAACAATTGGCTAATGTAATAGAGTAGTGCACAAACACCATATTTGCTCATGGCCTTAACAGTCATAGAGATAAGGCTTTTTGTAATGTCTGTTGGGATTTTAACATAAATTTGGCAAATTGCACAAAACCAGAACAAACTGGAAGAGTTACTGGGCTTAAGTTTTTTATATTCTATATTGACAAACTACTAAATTTCAGACAGGCTGTAAAACAAACTTTTATACCGCAACATCATAAATATTCGTGATGTCTTCCAGTTATAGATGCTTTAACAGAGTAGCTAAATGACAAATTTGAACTTAACAATGCAACGACCTCCAGTTTTAGATGGCTTTGCTGACGATGCACTTCAGCAAAACTACTGCCAATTTGAAAAATCAACCTGTCTCTTACCTGTCACTTGGATTCTCCTCTAAGAATTGCAGTTCTATTTTGCTGAAACTACTGATTTTAGTAGAGCAAATGTTTGTATAATAGTGGAGTAAAATTGCAGAGGATGGTAGATATCTCCTGAGAGCCCTGGAGTAAAAATATTGTGTAATATTGGAACTAGCTGTGAATCAATGAGATGGAAGCAGATGGCGCAAGGAAGAAGTTTAAAAATAAAACCAAACGTACCCAAGACTGAGGAATTAGAATCCTGCAACAGGAACATCACTGTTCTTCTCAGGAAGACCTCAGCAGCTGAAGACTTGTCCTAAAGCAAGCCCCCTCTCTCATCTGCATCAGGAAGACTGCCAAGCTCAGGACCTAGAGGAGCACTGTGGAAAGGTGATGACACCATCAGAAAAGTAAGGCTTTTCTTCATTAATCAGATAATTTAGACTGTTAGAATATTTACTGGACTAACAGTAAACTCTTAGCACTGTGTATATGGTGTGGTACACAAGATTTTGAGTGTATAAAGTCAGTGAAAAACATGGGCAAACCTGTTTGTGAACACTTTCAGTACGTTGGTGAGCAACCAAGCCTCTGCCAAAACTTTTGTGGGTAGAAGTCCACAGTCATCACAGAAAACTGGGAATGAATACAGCAGGTGTGCTGTCCTGTGTTCAGGCAGTTATCTCATTTGTTGTAAAGTAGATGAATTTTGGGCAACCCAAGTACTTCAGGATCATTAATGATCCAAGGAAAGCAGAGAAACAGTAGTTACGTCACTCTGTGATCTGGCTGTGACTCACTCCAGGCAAACTTTGCCTGGCTAAGTGGCAGTCTTTCTGATGGACAGTGCTAGTTTGCTGAAAATCTGAGAGGAAGAGGAGTAAACAGAAAGCAGTCAGAGCAAGCTGGTGATAGGTGGACACTGAATGGAAGCCCAAAGTTTGCTGATAGTTGCTTTAAAAGCCTCTAATAGTAGTCAGACATCTGTCTCTGCTCCTTTCTCCAGACCCAGCTGAGTACAGAGTGGTTTTATTATGGCTTACCTGTAAAGGACAAACCCAGGTACACAGACAGGAGAATACCAAATCTGACCTCTTACTTGACATGTCCACTCTGCTCTCCTCTCTGGAAGAAATGGCTGAGCTGAGGGAATGGCATATTCAGCAGGGACTAAGTCTTTGAGGAACAGATTTGTCCAAATCAGCTGGTTGCTGCAGCAGCAAACTGCCTATGATTTGTGGGTGTGTAACAAGGTATGAGCTTTAAAAGGAGGACCAGAATTTGGGAGATTGTATCATCTGGTAACTGATCACAAGCCAAAAGAAAGCAGAAAAAGTTGTCAGCCTCTGTTCAAAGTTTTGTGCCTAGTAGAGATAGACAGACCTTGAATTAGGACTAGAGTGCATTTTAGGTATCTTGTAGTGGGTGTCCTGGACACAAAAATGCATTTAGTTTGGTAAACAAGAAAAAACAAACAAAAATCATGAGAATGTATGGCTCAGAAGCTGTAAAAACTACTTTTTTTTTTATTCAGCATTTACTGTCAAATATTCTTCTTTGGTAAAAGCAACAAAAAAGGGGATGACAAAGTGAACAGAAGAGGAAAAGTAGCCCATGTGCATATGCAGTGGTAGGAAATACTATAGTAAGGAAATAGTCAGACCTAGAACACATAGAAACAACAAAGGAGAACTGTGAAAGAGATATGATATTGGAATAATGTTTCCAACAAGGCCCCTACCAGATTGGCAAAAGGATAAAGGCAATTGATTGCTTATACCTCACCCTTACAGACACCAAAGAACAGCCTGATCCTTGGGGATAGCCTGCTGTCCTGGTGGAACTATGGGACAAGCCTGGATGCTGCCTGAGAAGATAATATGATGCAAAAAGATTGAACACCTGGCACAGGGTGTGACCTGCACAATTCAAAGGGCTATTCTGGTCAAGTGGGCAGAGAAGGAGAATGAAGTGCTAAGAAACAAAGAAGCTGGATATTCAAGCAGATATCCAGAGAGAATTTTGAGAGATAAATAGAAGGTGTAAAGAGATATCAAAAAGGAAGAGTGTCTTGAACTGAGGAAAACTGACTGAGATTCCTCTGTGCTTAAACTAATGGGACTGGGGTTGCATTAACTTGGAAAACCAAGTTATCCATATAACACATGATGGTAATTAATATCTTACAAGTAGAGATTGCTATTTGGATTAAAATATAAATATTTAGCTGTTTGTTGCAAAGAAGAGCTGGAATCAAATCAAAACAAAAATGGGTGGAGGATTAATAAAGATATCTAATAATATGAAGTAAATTTTCCTACTAAGTATTTCTTGCAGTATTCATTTTAGTATCCACAGTACAGTATAAACAATCCCTTCCTAATGTATTCACACTCTAAGCTGCATATAACTTAGTTTTCTTTACTGCATAATTTTATTAAGCTACATACATACAGGAAAACTGAAAGGCATACTACTTTTAACTCAAATGCTATGGCTGATTTTAAAAACAAGAGCATGATATAAATCTGGGTAATAGGAGACAAAGGATCCAACCTAAAGGATTTATCTCTAAGCAAGAGAAAACCTGTTTCTTGGTGTGAAGACAGATTAGTTCTTACTAATCCATGAATATCGATGTTCCTAACAAAAATGTCTGTGTGTATGTGTTTGTCTTGGATGAAGCTTTTGGTATTTTTAAAAATACAGAACTTTGAGTGTTCTAAGAAGAAAAGGTGAATCACCCAGGTACAAAACATTTCCTGTGGAAAGCTGTATTGAATACAATAAAGTCACCTATGGCAATGGATTGCATACCTGTAAGAATAGCTCTGTAGCACTGGGATTGTGAAGACTGCACCTTCAATTATTGTACTTGGGGGTAGGAAATAGTGGAAATCATGGAACCCTAGGCTGACAGGGTATGGAAAAGTGAGTTAAGTTTATAACACACAACTTTGCCTGATTATTCAACTAATTCAGGTAACTGTGGAGATTTATAGGTACAGTGTTTCTGAGATGAGAGGTATGCATTTATGAGGATGGATTACTGAACAGGACTGATGTTCTTCATGGTCTCTTTAGGCAGATTCCAGAAAAACAGTGGCTCAAGACATGCATTACATATGTAAGCATAATAGTTTTCCATGTTTTGACAATTGCTTAGGTCAGAATTTGATCAAGGTGCAAGCATGAAATAGCTCCTCTCATTGTACCATTACCTATGGAGGGTCCAGTTGTGTTCATATCTATTCAGAAATCACTGTGCACTATCTCAGAGTGTGTGACATGCTCAGTGACAGGCAACTATGCAATGTAAAGATGCAAATTGCACCGTTACTTTAAAAGTAAGACTATGGTCCATGACATCTACAGAAACATGAATTCCACACCCCATAGTTGTAATTTTAGTTGCTCAGTGGTTGCTCAATGGTTAGACATCACTGTACCCTCAGGCCCTAAGATGTTACCATCAACAAAGACCACACAGGAAAAAATGATAGTGCTAAAATTTTGTCTGTATAACAAGTTAAATTGCACTATTATTTTGTTTCCTTCCACCTCCCCCTTCACTCTCCAAGTTAATCAGATCTCTTGGATAATGAAACTGTTAAATATTCACTGGACTAACAGCAAAGTCTTAGTTCCATGTATGGTGTTCTCTTCTGACTAGAGCAAGATTTTGAGTGCAGCACTAAAGAACCATCCCATCTTTTGGTTAATTCAAAACTTTACTGGTTGCACCTAAGAACCAACTGAGTCAACTGCCACTGACTGCACTAAAAAGTAAACCAGAACTAATGCTTTTAAGATCTAAAAGACTGTCTGTGGAAAGGATTGTGAACTTTCCAGAGTTCTGCCCTTCACACACACTTTACACCAGATTCACCTGTTTTTCCTGTGGCGAGCTCAGCACACAAACACACGAATGCGACTTAGACACTTATTCTGCTTTTTGAAATCTAAAATAGTTCTACACCTACTAATGAATTTCTATTGACAGAGCTGTCAGAGCATTAGCACTGTGCATGTCCTCCTTTCTCCTCACCTCACCTGACCTCCCGAAGGATTAGATGTGTTACCCTCTGAACGATTATCTGGCAACCTCACTTTCTTGTCTGAGTAAAAGGCCAGGCAGCCTCAGCGGCTGTAGTGCTTCAGGCAGGAACGTGAGACTGTGCAGCAGCCTTCGGGACACACCCTAGGTACCATCATTTCTCTGGGATTTTAGGAAAGACCTGACAATGAACAACAAGAAAGCAAGATTGGTGCTTAAACTGTGGTATTTCCTTCTTAATTCTAAGAGTATTGGATACAAAACACGCAATGTTTGGCTACTGTTAATAAGTTGCTTGTTTAAGAGTAATATATTGTTACAGAATCCCACTGCAACAATAGCAAGAATGTTCCTCTGGGACAACTATCCCGGAGAGCTCAAGCTATTTATTTTTTTAAGTGTTAAACACACATTGGTAACACACTGCCAAGTATTGTGGGTATGGAATTAAGGAGAGACTCTGAAAGTTTTTTGTTCTTCCCCCCAAACGTAAACAGAGATGCAAACACCAAGATATAGAAGCATTGGGAGTTGTAGAAGGTTGTTACTACTGGCAGTAATTACTTTTGAGAAATAGATACAGAAGGCACACAAATAACAGGGTATATACAACATCCAAAAATTATTGTATTTTGTATCTATGAAGTGTTTCACAAATTCTTACTTGATTTTTTAGTAAGGCTCAGGCATTTTCACAACAAATATTTTCTACATCTGCTGATATTTTTAAATTGGTATCACACTTTTTGAAGTGTCTTGATTAATGCGTAAAAATCTTTGAAAGATATTTACATTTTTTGATATTCTGTTATATAAAATAAGGATCCCAAATCATAATAACACTGTAATATTGTGAAAGCAATCATTATTTAGGACTTTGCAGGTTGTTGGAATTTTTTTTTTTGTATTTATTTTGCACAGAATGGTAAGTGAAAATGGTATTCCCATCAACTGTGCTTACTGGAATTTCACAACACTGAATCTGGCTTTTTAGTATTTCCGATTGTACTTTAGTTTGGATGTTTGAAAACATGTTGTTACAAAAAGCTCCTGATACCATGACAGGGCAAAGGTAAGACCTTAAAATATAGTATCAATACCTTACATTTCTTATGAAACCCCAACTTATAAATTATTTAACAGATATACCAACAGATACTTGGAACATTTGCTGCAATTTTCAAGGAGATGTGCTTTGTTGTCCCTGTGTAATCGAACAGTTGACTCTCTGCTTGAAGTACAGTGTTAATTATGGAACTGTGACATGATGTTTGGCAGCAGCTGTGCAGCACTGGCCATTTCTTTTCTCCAATGTGTCTCACCTTGGCAAACCCAAAGATAGGGATAAGTGTCATAGGATCATAGAATAGTTTGGGTTGGAGGGGACTTCCAAAGGTCACCTATTCCAACCCCTCTGCAATGAGCTAAATCTCCATGGCCAATGTTTGATGTGTCTGGGAAGACTATCAAGATAAAGAACAATAATAATTTTTTTTTTTTTTTTGCATTGTATCTAGATGACAACAGCACAATTAATTTCTCATGGATCCTTGAACAAATAACAGGGAGAAGTATGGCTGGCCAATGTGGCAAAATGAGCTAATTATATTTCAAATTTGGAACTCCATTTTGTGTTATGTGCTGAATGTGCAGAAGCCAGTCCAGAAGTGGGAAGCTGCAATGTGTACCATAACAGGCTCAGATGTTTGACACCTATATAAAGCACACGGAGGATCCTTAAAGAATCGATTCTTCTGGAATACTGAAACATGAATCTTTTTGAACAGCTGTCTCTGTCCACAGGAACACTTTTTCTTGATAGTGCACACTGTGAGATAAAGTATAGGCACAAGTGACAGTTTGTGTTCCTGTTTCTCATGGACTACCTCTCGTCTTTAAGACACCTTTAAGAAATGTGCAACGGCAATAAAAAAGTGCATTAATCTCCTCGCAAGCAAGCAAACAAAGTGGGCCAATCATAACTACCTGTAAGAAGACTTTCAGGAAAAGGATGTGGGAGGAGTTCTGCCTAGACTGAAATGATGACAAATCTTTGATATAGCTTTTAAGTACTGAATTTAAACATACAAAGGACATGCCTTGTAACTTGTCACTTTGAGAGATTAGCAATTCTTAAATGTTCTCAACACAGGAGCTAAAAAATAGCCTGCTGTCTTTGGTACCTGCCATCTCCTCTCAGACAGATTGAACTGGGGAATTGGGCAGTCTATAAATTAGCAGTCATCCATGACAGCTGCAGAGCAGAAGCCTGTACACCAAAGATGGTTCTGACAAGCTTGGAAGCATCTTATGGACCCAGGCCAGGAGCAGATACCAGGGCTGCTTGAAAGCTACTTGGTTTAGAAGAACCTAGAGCTCAGGAACTGGCTCTGCAAGATCAAGGCCAGATACTGCACAGATCCATTCTGGCTGAGATACGAACAGACACTACTGATGAGGGAGAATCTGAATCAGCCCCTTAGTGAAAAAATGTATTTTTTCCTAACTTTTTTTCTCAAGTTCAGTATCTGTCATCTTTTGCAAAGTAAGTGCAAAATATTAGTGCATCAAAATGGAGGTACTGCGTGACAGGGGTAGATATTTTTATCTTCAATGCTTTCAAGATCTTCAGTGGCTTTTAATCCAAACCTTTGATTTCTGTTTGAACCTTTCATATTCCCCTAAATTGATGTTATAATAATTGTAACTATACAGTTACTGCTCAATATTGCTATTCAAAATTTTATATGCAAAAGTATACATAACTTAGGAATGATTATCCTTTGAAAGACTCGTTTAGAGTAACTGATAAACTCCAGGCCTGCTGGTAACTGGGTGCCAGACACACGCTTTAGACACCACTCCTACAAGACCCACTGCTGTCCCCACAAAAGAGCAGTGATATCCAATAGTCCTCCTCTTCCTATTTCTACTGGCAGCAGCAGCTGGCAGCTTTGTATCCACCTCTGACAAACGCACAAAGACACACTCAGCTGCTGGGACAACATTAATTGTCTGAACTGCTGTTTTTGCCTCCAGGTAGAGGACCAAATAGCAGTGTTCTGAGAGTCAATCTCTTCCTTTGAGTCTCAACAGGTTCATGGTGAAATAGATGATCACAATAATATATGCCTTAGTGTTTTTGAGTTACTTTTGATAAAGCAGATAGATAAAATTATGACCAAGTTGTAAAATGCAACAGGAGTAGACACAAACTGCATGGTTATCCATTTCCCAATTCCATATACTATGGATATGTATATGAATAAATATAGCATTTGGGCTTTGTCTGTTATAGGGACAGGGGCTATTTGCAGAATTCAACTTCCTGAAGTACAACTTTGCTTGGATGTGAGGCTGGATACTGTGTCAATTCTACTTAAAACCTTCCAAATGAATGTTAAAAAGGAGTCCCTGTCTTCAGGGAGGTGCAAGTCACAGCTAAATTTCTGCACAAATTGCTAATTTATAAATCTCTCTCTTGTGTTTATGCCAAACAGCTGATAACACTGGTGTGAACCTGCTTCCTGACAATTAATAACACCAAAGAGACCGTGCTAAGAGTGAAGCTCCTGTTTCCAGCCCTTGTGCACTCAAAGACTGCAGGAATTGCTCTCCTACCTCCACTTCAACAGCAGGTGACCTCTCCAGTACCAAACACCCAGAAGCTCCAAAGCAGCAGCACAGGTAATATGCAACTATTGAAAAAAAAAAAAAAACCAACACAACAAAACAAACAAACAAACAAACCCGCAAAACCCCAACAATTTCCTTGCTCTTGATAATCAGCTGGAATTTCTCTCCTCCTTTTAGTATGCCAAACTAGGTAACTGTGAGAATGAGGGTGACCCATTTGCAAAAGAACACCATGCACATATTATGAGGCAAGAAGCGATATGGATAAGACTTGTTACACTTTGTTTTAGCACAGGCACTGAAATCCCTGCCATGCAGAAAGTTTTGAGAAGCCCAGGTAATTTTAACAACAGTTTTTCAGTCTCCAGTGAGACTGAAGAAACAGTGGCCACTAAAGAAAAAAGAAATCCTGATCTATCAGAACCGGATATGACAGGTAGTTCTACAGCATAGATACTACTTTATATAATAAGCAAACCAAAACTGCTTGGGCCTCCTGCTGGGGCAACTGCTCTAGCAAACAGTATTGCCCTACATATTCCTAGGACAGGGAATACTTGTTGCACTCCACAAGGAAAAAAGGACATAAATAGTTGGATTTTTGTCTGTGTAGGTAGGAACTGCTGCAAGGAGGGAAATACAGCATAGTTAAATGTACACACACTGTTGAGGAAAGAAATCAATATAGAAACTTTCACTGTAGCCAATTTTGGGTAAAGTAATAAATGAATTGTTCACCACACACCGTCCTGTTATTTATCTGGCAGACAGGAAGGGAAAGCAGCACTTAAATTCAGAGAAAGCCAGGATAGGGGGGGTGAGTTACAAGGCGAGGATAACAATTATGGGGATGGTTGTGGAAATGAGTAAGGTATCTAGGAGCTGAAAAGTTTATAAACCATGGCTGAAAAGCATTCAAAAGAGGCCTCTAAATAAACTTTCTCACTACATATCTAAACAAAGCAAAATTGCTGGACCTTAAATAAAAGTGCTCAGTGGTGGCCTAGAGGCACAGTCAGGCTGGTGATTAGTTGCCTTGGATATTCAACGGTCTATCCAAAAAAACGACACATGCTGATATTATGTCAAAAACTTCCACAGCAATGTACCTGTTCTACTCGGCATTTAGAGCCGCACTGGGATCAGTTGAGTTAATCTTACTTTGTACGTGATTTTTTTTATGTGTCCGGTAAAGAGACATTTTTTGCTGTACAGACACGGGTGTTTATGAGATAAAGTCACGGACGTCCCGAGTCTTGTTCTGCTGAGCTGTCTGTGAGCACGGCCAGCCGAGAAAGTTATTCCAGCGCTCAGGATGATGCCAAATCACTTTGGTGGTGGTGGTGGTGTTGGCTGCGGGGAGGGTTTTGTGTGTGTATGTTAGTGTGTGTGTGTGTGTGTGTGGGAACGCAGAGTTCACCCTGCCGCTGACACGCTGAAAAAAAAAACAAACAAACCACAAAAACAAAACACATCAAAGCGCCACTAAGAAAACAAACCGGGGGGACCGCGGAGATCGGCGGCAGGCAGGACCAGCACCCCCTCCCGCCTCCTCCTGCGATGGGTCGGCTCGGGCAGCTATATTTATTTATTTATTAACTTATGTATTTATTTTTATTTATAACAGCAGATTTGTTTATTTCCCTTGGTGTCACCCGCTCGGAGGCGCGGGGGCTGCCAAACCTGACGGGGCCAGGCGGCCCCGGCGCGGCCGGGCGGGTGGAGCGGGGCGGGGCGGCCCCGGGCGGGGAGGCGGCGCCGGGCGGGGATGGGCAGGAGCGGCAGGGCCGGCCCGGCCCCGGCCCTGGCCCCGGCCCCCTCCCCGCGGGTATTTAGCGGCGGCGCGGAGCAGGCTGGCCCTGCGGCGGGGACATGGCCGCCGCCAGCACGGAACCCCCGCAGCTGGAGCGGCTGCTGGAGCGGGACCCCTACCTGGCGCCCTTCCGGACCGACTTCCAGCGCAGGTACCGCGGTGGGGGGGAGCGCCGCCGAGAGCCGCCCGCCCCGGTGTCCCCTCCCCTCGGCCGGGGCGGCTCCGCTGCCCTTCCGGTGCGGGCGGAGCCGCCGGCGGGGCCCGGCGGGGCCTCTCGGGCGGCGGGGAGGCCTCGGCCGCGGGCCTGGAGGGTCCCGCCCCGGGGTGTCCGCGCTGCGCCCCGCGGACCCTCCCGACCGCGCCGAGGGGGCGGCCGTGGGTCCCCGCAGAGCCGGGCCCCGCGGGGCGCAGCTGGGGACACCCTGCGAGAATCGTGGCATCGCAGAATAGCCGGGGCTGGAAGAGACCTTTAGAGATCAGCTAGTTTCAACCCCTCCCACCCCCCAGGCCGGGTTGCTCGGAGTTTACATCCCATCTGGCCTCGAACGCTTCCAGGGATGGGGCATCCACAGCTTCCCTGGGCAACCTGTTCCAGTGCCCTCCCTACCCTCCCAGTAAAGAATTTTTTTTTCCAATATTTAATCTAAACAAACTCTTTTTCAGTTTGAATCAATTCCCCTTTGTCCTGTCACCGCAAGCTCTTGTAAATAGTCTATCTCCACCTGTCCTGTAAGTTTCCTTCAGGTACTGGAACGCCATAATTAGGTCACCCTCAAGCTTTCTCTTTCCCAGGCTAAACAATCCTAATTCAGCCTTTCCTCATAGGAGAGATGCTCCATCACTTTGATCAACTTGGTGGCCTCCTCTGGACTTGTTGGAATAGGTCAATGCCCCTTCTGTGTTGGGGACCCCAGAGCTGGATGCAGTCAGTACATGAGGGTGCTGCATTGAGCTGCTGTCGCTAATAAAAGTGGTTTTCCGTCTAGCTGTGGTAATCCCTAAAGAAATTGCTCCTGAATCTCTTCTTTCTGGAGAATTTTCCTGCAGGCATGTGTTTTGAGATAGCCTGAACCGCCAGCTCAGCTGTTCAGCAGACCTGCAGCGGGTGAAGTAGCAGAGCATGCGTTAGGTTGGTGCCAGGTTGCTGGTTCTGAGCATCCCTTTTTTTGTGCCTCTCGGTGGGAACAGTGACACCAACCCTCTGGCCAGGGCCTGGGCGAGAGTACCGGCAGCAGCTTGGGCAGAGGCAGCCTGTGTCCTGCAGAGCCAGGCTGCAGGCCTGGAAAAGCTGCTGGAGCCTTACTGGAGGAGTGAACAGAGTGACTGGGAGCTCTTATGCCACACGCTCTGTGCTGTGATTCACTAGTAGTCCTCTGATAACCAAAATAGTTTTAATACTACCCAATGCCCTGTATCCCAGAAGCCTGGAAAAGTCTGTGTGTGTGGAAGTGATGCAGGAAGGAATTTGATTCCCACCCCACCCCCAAAGTGGTGTTTGGTTTTTTTTTTTTTCTGTTACTGTATTCTACATTTAGCATTACTAGGTGTCCTGTGTGGTTCTGGTATTGAATACTGGTAAGGCTAGATCTCATAAAATGGGATTAGGGATTAAGTAATCTATTAGGCTGACTTGCAGAGTATGTAGTAATCTCTTAATGACAGAACAACTGAGTGTTTTAAGCAACGGTTCCTGACAAGCTTCTAGTCATGCATGCAGTGTTGTAAAGCACCTAATTCTTTAAGTGGGGTGCCAGGGTGTAGGAATTAATAAATGGGCAGATCTGGCTCTTCATAAAACCATTCATTAAAACATTTGGGCTTCCCAAATGTGCCTGCCATCTAAGTGACTGTGGATAATGATACTTGTATTTCTGAGGATAGGAGAGCTATCACTAAACAGAGTGAGTTTGCAAAATGTTTGTATACTTCTCAGGTTTGTACACCTTGAGCACTGAACTGGTCCTGTCTGTATCTTGTCACTTTCTAGCTTCTGAAATTCCAGTTGGTCACTTGCCATAGAATTATTGTGGAAACGTGTAATGTTTAAAAACATTAAGGAAAACTTTTGTGGCAACGTGTAATAAACTGGATGTCTTGTTCTAAGCCCAACAGGTAGTGCATCTTGTGGATGGTAGAGAGTGCCAAGGAGGAGGAGTTGTAAGCACAGGAAAATGCTTTTTATATAGCATCCCAGATGATATGAATTGTGATTTAGTCTGTACTAAATACCTTCAGGTGTATTTTGATCTGGAGGCCTTTCATCAAGAGTACTCAGGAGAAAGGAGTTTTGCAGCCTAATTGCTGCTTGTGTGAGGATCCAGTTCTTTGGGGCCTTCAGTATGTGAGATTTGCTTATTTATGTCCAGTTCCTGTGCTGGGGGAGGTGGTGAACACCTCTGCACTGTCCATGAAATCCTGAGCAGTGTTGTACTACATGCTCTTTATTCCAGGCTGAAGGGTCCTGATGTGTTTAACTGGTGCTTCTGTGACTCTTCACTGTGATGTTGGACTGCTGTTAAGTACCTCAGTCAATCTGGTTTCCTTCACCATAGATAGTGTAGGAAAAGGCTGTGATGAAGCAACCAGTAATATGTGCTGTGGTGTCTACTGTGTTAAGAGTTGGTTGACTGACAGAGCATTAAGCATGCTTGAGAATCAAAGCTTTTTAAACACTGATCTGTAAAGATCCATTTATTATGCCTTGTGCAGAAACATGTGAAATAGTCCTCCCTTTGTCTTGCTCAGTAACAGTTCTTCTATAGAAGTGAGAGGAAAATAAAAGACTTGGGGGTTTATTCTTGGCAGTGACATCAGCAAGTTGCTGACTTGCCTTTTAGACTTGAGTCTTTCTGCTCTTCTGTCCATAGCACTGTATTAGCATGGCTGATTTTTGTTATGTGGAAAGTTTTTTATAGCTATGTATGCCTGGCTGTTGTATAATTGCACAGCTAACTTGGTGGTGATGGCTTATTCTCACAGCCAAAGCCATGCCATTTCTGTTGTTGGATTGGATTGCTCAGGACCTTGTTGGCTTGTGCTGTGTCTCTGGGGATGTGCTTCCTTGGGCAGCCTCTCCCTGTGGTTGGCTACACTCGTTGTGGAAAATTCTTTTTTAAAATAGTGTCACTTCCCTTGATGCAACTTTGTTGCTTCTTATCTGTTTCCCCCTCTGTACTTTGGAATACAGCCTGGCTTATTATTTTCTTTAGGCACTCCCCCCACCTGTCCCTTTAGATTAAAACTGTAAGTGGGTATCAGCAACCCATGCCTCCTCAAATTAGCTTTTTCGTACCTAATCTGAGCAAACTCATCTCTGAGGCCCTACCTGTGTGCCATAGGTAGGAGAAGACAGGCCAGGAATAAGAAGATGGCTTTATACAGAGGCCTGTCTATGCTTTGAGAAGTGCAGGCCTCCCTTGCTGAGGTTCACATCTGCCTCTCCTGCCCTGTGCTGTGCTCCTTCACCCTCAGGATGGTGACCATGTCTTCATGACATCTTTGAGCCTTGGTTTGTTTTTCCTTTTTTCTCAGAGGGAGGGGATTGCTGAAGGATGGACAGGCCTTAGTCACATCAGCCTGGACTCAGCAGTAGTGTGATTATACTGATTCACCTTGAGAATTGCCCAATTCATGATGAAATGAATCATGATGTTGCCTCAGGTTTTGAAAATTTTCCTTTTGCTTTCAAGGACTGTCTCCTTTAACCTCTCTTAAAGTGTAACTTTGTGCTTTAGGCAGCTGACTGTTTTCTCTCTTTTTCATAAAGCCTTGAGAAACACTGAGTGAGTGCTTTGATGGGAACAAAGGGCTTCTCTAAAGATGTAATGCCTAAAATGTGATGGTAGGACCTAGTTACATCCTAAGCATGTAGTATGGACTGACATAGTTTATTGAGGGAGTACTAGGAAGAAAGAGACCTCTGGTCACATTCCCATTTCAATACTTTGTCATGCCTGGGCTTGTTATTGCAAATGGTGTTCACGGGGAAAATAGAAATCTGTAATTTTTCCTTTCTCTGAATATCTGAATTCAACCCTGAGTCGAGGAGGGAGCATTTTCTCTGGGGAAGGAGAAAATCGATGTATAAATAGTGAAACATTCAACCTTGACCCAAATATACACTAGTCAGAACTCTAAACAAGAATCTACTTAAAAACAAACAAACAAAAATCCCCAAGCGATAGTGTTTGTGTAGGATATCACTGTGCTACATTGTTTGACCATCTGTGATATGTTTCCCCACAAGTATTTTGTTAACACCCAAGTGTTATTTATACTAAAGACTTTGTATAATTTCGTATGTATTTTTAGTCTTTTACCTCTTGGAGCGTAATTGGTTCAATTAAAGCCATTAATGCCTGTGGTGTAATTGCATTTTATGGAATTACAAACTGGTGTTAGAAAGTGCTGCCCGTTAGAATTTTCTGCTATAACAATGTGCATGGCTTATTATATTTTACCAGTCCCTGCAACTGCCTCTAATCTCCTGACTGTGTAGTCCTTGGTGAAAGCTTTTTTTCTGAGTAGTTCAATTTATAGAATATATAAGAAAAACTTTACCAATACATAGCTTCAGTCTTTATCTTCAAACAACACTGATTTGTTCAGTTAGATAAAATGCTGCCCATAGTGCTTGATCATATGTATGGGTTGAGAGAAGGTTCTGTTGCTTCTGAAGTGTTGGTGAAGACAGGAACGTCTATTCAGTGGCTTTTGTAGCTGTGTCAGTTACCAAGATGTCTGTCAATTGATTCAGAGGTTTCTAGTAGTGTTCTTACATCCTTCCACTCTTAAAAGGGGAACTGCTTTCCCTTCTTCCAATTGTACCTATCATTTTGTGTGTGCTTAGTATCAGATTAATGCTGCTTTATGGTTCTGTATTTTTTTAGTCTATTTTAAAGATGCAGGGGGGTGGGTACTTGACTGAGGCATTGAAAATTAAGAGGTGTCGAGTTGTGTTTGATCGGGCTGAGTAGGAAGGCAGCTGTTGGGTTGTAGCAAGTTTGGGAATGGAGTTGAGTGATCAAGCTGGAATCCTAGTTTGGGATGAAGATGGTGAGGGGAGAAGGACTGGAGTGTGGTCTGTCACAAATGAACACATCCACTCTGTATCATCAGTGTAGGGAACCAGGCTTTCTACTCATAAAAACTGGATTTTCCTTTCCTGTTTTATCTCATACAGACTGTTGTACTGGGTGTGCAGAACTAAAGGTTTATGAAGAAGTGTCATCTATAGTCGTGTTTTTATTGTTT